GCTTCGGCAGTAGGAAGTCTCATGTATGCAATGCTATGCACTAGGCCTGATATTAGTTACGCCGTTGGCATTGTAGCGAGATATCAGAGTAATCCAGGAAGGGAACATTGGGTTGCGGTGAAACATATACTCAAGTACCTGCGAAGGACTAAGGAGTACATGTTAGTTTACCGTACAGACAGTTTGTTTGCGCTGGGTTACAGCGATTCTGATTTTCAGTCAGATAGGGACGAGAGTAAGTCAACCTTAGGTTATGTGTTTACCTTGGGAGGTGGAGCCATTTCATGGAGGAATGCTAAGCAGAAGTGCGTAGCAGACTCCACTATGAAAGTCGAGTACATCGCAGCCTCTAAGGCAGTGAAAGAGGCAGTTTGGCTCAGAAACTTCTTGGTGGACTTAGAAGTGATTCCGAGTTTGCCACGTGTTATTACCGTGTACTGTGATAACAGTGACGCAGTAGCAAACTCAAGGGAACCACGAGCCCACAGAGCAAGCAAACACATAGAGCGCAAATACCACCTTATCAGAGATATTGTGGCAAGAGGAGAAGTTGAGATCACCAAGATTGCATCAGAAGACAACCTAGCTGATCCTTTTACGATGAGTTTTTCGGAGAAGGTCTTCACCAAACACGTAGAGGGAATGGGAGAATGTATGGTGATAGGATCGACATAGGTCTTTTAGGATACGGATTGATAGGACTATACTAGTAAAGCGGCAACTTTAAGTATAAGTGGGAGATTGTTGGTGTTATATACTTAAGCTTTGCTTTAGTGGATATTACACTTGTTATTTCTTGATGAATGAGAATTATGTTTGGTTAAATAAGTTCCACGTTCTGTTGTTTTGCATGTAAGTAAGTGGGTCGTCATCGGGCGTACCAAAGATCACTATATCAGTTACTTACGAAACAAGAATCATTGGTTCACAACCTAGATGTAATTGAACAACCCATGGAACGGTTGTAGTGTCAACCGTACGGTTTGTCTTGACCGATTAGTTACACTAGTACATTTATGTATTGAACAGGATCCCAGAGAGGGATGTTCGTTTTATACTGATCGTCGTAAACGAACTAGGCCTCAGTTAATTATTGCGTGCTCTTAACCCGTAAGATGTTAAATAGGCATGTGCACATAATTGTTGTTGCTTTGATTCTTTGGGTCAGATCCAAGTCGGGTCGACATACTTAATGAATTGGGTAATGGCATTATGTTTTCGATGTGCTATTAGGATATTTACGGTCACCATGTGCATTAGTCTGATGATGTCCCCGAAGTGAGTTCATGAAGGAATATTATGCTAAACCCTGCAGGTCGATTTATTCCAGCATAATATGAATGTTATGAGCGAGTTAGTGATCGAATTAATTAATGGACATTATATCTTAAACATTGGGAGGTAAATCGGCTAATTATAATAAGGAGCCTCAAATGTAATTTGGGATAGGTGAGGGGAGTGCAATAATATTATTGTGGTGGACTTTAATATTATTAATATATTAATTGTGGGGTTGCTCCACAGTATTAATATATTAGAAGCCCTTATCCTATTCCCCTTAGGGTCCCTACTGTAGCTCTATATATACAACATTAGGCTCATGGAAGAGAAGAATATACAATCCCAAACCTTGGGAAACACGTCCAGCTCTCTTTCTCTCTCTTCCAAGGAGTAGTTCTATTTCTTGTGCTCCACTGATACAAGATCTAGATAGCTGTTTGAGAATACAGTAGAAGATCTTAAGGTATATATGGGATTCCAATAAGATCGATCATACATCCAAACCGGAGACCAAAACAAGCAAGTGACCATACCACGACGACCAGGACGACGAGACGAAGAGATCGCCGTCGAGATCGCCGCCGGACTCCGCCGCACGTGCCGTCACGCGCCGCCAGGAGGTTTTAGCAGCTGAAGCTCAATCGTGCGCGTGTGAGCGCGTGAGACCTCCGTTTTACGATCGGTCAACGCTGTTGACTTCACCGTGACGTCAGCTTTCTTGATTGGTCAAGTTTGTTCTATTCCGAGAAGTTTTGATTTGCGGTCAACTGTTCGGGCCAGCCAGATCTACATAAATTTTAAGTAGTAAGTTTTCTTCATCAAACCTTTAGATCCGCTGCGCATAGGTTTATGTTGAATGTTTGTCCGTGATTTGTGCATATCGAGATCCTCATATGTCCCAACAATAAAAGCATATTATTCACATAATAACTCTTGAAAATACATAGTCGAACAACTCTAGGGTTCGAACATTACCGAATTCACTTTAAAGTCGAGCAAGTGAATTGGTTTTATTTATTAACTGATTGGGGCGTTACAACCTATCCTCCTTAAACTATTTCCGTCCTCGGAAATACAAAATTAAGGTACACGGTCAGAACTCCTGCTACAAACTAAAAACTGAAAAGTACAAGAAAAAAAAGTACAACTCAAAACTCAAAATATGGATATCGAGCTCGAAGCTCGGCCTCTCTCTCCCAAGTGGCTTCGTCCTCGCCGCGGCGACTCCAACGTACTTTGACGAGCGGTATCTCTTTGGTTTTCAGCCGTCGAACCTTTCGGTCCAGAATAGCTATCGGCTGCTCATCATAAGTCAGGTTCTGCCAGACTTCTAACCCGTCAAAGTTGACTATGTGACTCGGGTCATACACGTACTTCCTCAACATAGAAACATGAAAAACATTGTGTACACCCGAGAGCTCGGGAGGCAACGCCAGACGGTAGGCTACTTCACCCACTCTT